TCTCTCCCGGAAACTGACTGAAATATCGCCTTAAATTTGGCTGAGATCGCTTCCTTTCATAAAATTTATCATTTTCAGTCGTACGTTCATATAATGTTGTAATCTGTATGAGTTACTTAGTTGACAAAGCGTCGCTAAATATAAATGAAGCGTGACAGAATGATAATTTTTCAAGTAACAGACGGACCCGCCAACCAACAAGAGGCAAGAAGTTTCTTTAATTGTTAGACGGATATGGACCCATACATAAACTTCTTGACCTCAGGATGCTGTGTTTTTCAAATAGGAGCCTTTACAGTTCCCAATCCAGTTGCATTCTATTAGGTTATCGACCGAAAGGCCTACCAGACAACCGTCCGGTCGAACTAGCCACTGACACCGAGTGACGTGACATCTTGCAGGCTGCAGCGGATGAGACGCCATGGTCTCCTCAGGGGCCTGTACGAGCGATTCCTATTCAAACTGCGACTAGCCACTCAACAGGCCCAGGAGAAGAAGAAACTGTCAGTGGACCTAAGCGATGTAGCGCCTGTCTTTCTCACCCTGGCGGTTGGAATTGCCTTCTCATTTGCTTTGTTCCTCTTCGAATTCTACATCATGTGATTTTCATTGCGTGGACGAGGAAGTACGAGTGTTGTTTGATTCTAAGGAAAATACCATTTCTTCGGCCGAGCGTCTTTAAGTATGGCTCTAAAATTTTATTTATGATGATATAATGTATTAAAATAAATTATCGCTTTACAGTCAGACTTTTTTCATTTATATTCTGACTTGTGGCGAGCTAAGAATTATCTATCAGGTTAACAACGCCTAGAGACGAATTTTATATGATCGGTTCTGACGTGCTGTAGCGTATGGAGTAAAATTGAGGCATTTAGCTAAGACAGAAGACTTTTAATAATGTTTGTTTGTTTGTAAAGTATTAGCCAGGTGACACTATTAACATGGTCGGTTCGCCTAAAATTTGTAATATAATAATTCTCTTATTCTCTGCAGAATGCCAGTAATTTTTTAGGTGTAAATTTTACATTTCTCTCACCCACTATTATGTTCTTTCTCTGGCGAGTTGTTTTTCACCGTTGTCACTTATAGCTTTGTGTGAATTGCAATGATTAAACATTCCGTAGTCCCCGGACTGTATGCCACAAAGGTCGTACCGTGTTCCTTGCATTTCGGAAAACCGGAGGGTCATAAAACCGTCACTTGCGTTCGTTCGTCAGACAAATAATAATTTTGGTGGTTGAGGAAAATGTATTACAGGGATCGATGTTCCATATAATTACATAATGTAGTATTTAAACGTTTCTGGATATATGTTGATGTATTTTTATTTACATTTATGTTTGCGTATTGAGCGATGGATGTTCCTATAGAGTGGAGGCCGGTACACATTTTTGTGTGAGAGTGAAAGCAATCGATTGCTATAACGCTTTCGACATTCGTTGTTTTCTGGCCGTCGGGAGTTTCCAACTGGCCAGCATTTGAATAAGTTCCCATGGATCTGTCGCTCTATGACCAATAGGAAAATTGCAATCAAATTTCCGGCCACAAACACAACCAGAATTGGCGCTACTGCAGCTAAGTTCACTGTTGTTGCAGAACGATTTACATAAGATGCCTTTGAGGTTATGTAGTGTTGGCGAATCCTAGATTGAATTCCTTTCTCGCGAAGTTGAGCTAACCTGTGCAGAAAGGTAATATTTATCAAAGGCTGTGACATAAATGCTTATGTTCAAAATCATGAATGTAACATGTGTCCACACGTAAATAAAATTTCTTGGGAAACGAAGTAGTAGACCATGAGGACTGATGTTAAAATATTTTTGATTGTATAATTTAAAATCCTACACTGTTATGGTCACATGTTAGGATAGATTAGCCCCTTACTACACAGTGAATCTAACATACTCCAGCACGCTTTTATGACTTGGTGCTTAGACACAGGGACATTTTTCTTTACAATTTATGGGCATGTAAAGTAACGTGCAGTAATACGTTAGATAAGATGGAACCAAAGGAGGGAAGTAATTTGATAACTTTACTTTTGAACTCACTTCCAATTGATGAGGTACTTGTAAGGGCTCTTCTTGGAAATAATGTAGGTCAGAGGTTCCGGGTAGGAAGTTCCAGGAAGTGTTGTCATCTGACATAACGTCGCCCCCTTGTACTGCTGACTGACGAAGTAAGAGCCTGCGTAGGCGTACTTGTGCAGAGTGCAGACTTTTTTAAACCCTTCAGAGTCGTCTCTCGGTATATCGTTCGTGAAGGGGGCAATTAGTTTCTTGTAAACTTCATTTTCGACTCCTTCCACGGCTCCCTGCAAAAGAAAAATAATACCTTGGCGTCTTTACATGGTTTTAAATCCTTTACACTCACAGATATAGACATTTTTTCAACAGTTAATCCTTTCCATGTTATGCACGATACATGTCGCGTATATTTCAGTAAGATCAGTGGAAAAGTCCTCTTTCTTTAGTCAAATTTATATGTGGATTTATAATAGCAGAAATTAGCCATAGAAACATGCAAGAAAGACACGGTTTGTTTTGTTTGAAACTCAGCATGGTCGGATTTGATTTGTTCAGCTTTTAAAAGAATTTCACGTTCTTACGGAATTCGAAAAGTGATTGTCGTCATCTAGGAATCTCGCCATTGGACTCAAACAAGAACCAGTTTGGTGCATCATATGAAGTGCTGGTGAATAGCTTCATACCAAATAGGAAGAAATCATTTCAAAGATTATGATAATGATATAGCATGGAAATATTACATTCTTCTGCGAACTGGTTGAGACTCATCATGCAACGTAAGTATTTATTATTATTATTATTCATGTCTTGAGACTTTTACGGCGACTTAAAGTCTAAAAGTTATATCTTCGCGGGCAATCAGCCGTTTCAACTCGGAACAGAATTCCAAATTTTCAGGAAAATTTCTGTCTTCATTATTATTGTTATCGTGTTACATCAAAAATGTTGAGAACAGCGGAATTTTCCTGGACACCGAGCCTGTAGGAACCGTCGGACAACAGTCCCTGCAGATCCCTGAAGGGCAGGGCTCTGGGCTGCACGGCTAGACTGGAGATGAGCGACGCAGAGTAACCGGCGAATATCACCAGTGACATCACGTAAGACGTCAGCGTCACAATGCGCCCTGCGGTGTTGTTGACTGCATCTCGCTGACCTGCGAGGTAAGAAGATTTCAGATTGCAAATGGGAAGTGACTCATTTAATGGTACGTGGATGTCTGGCCAAAACCAGGCCGAGCCTGCATTGGCTACATTTTTTTTTTGTAATTTAGTATGTAGCTGTGTAGTTTTTGACAAATTACAAAAAGCATTTGCTCGTGATCGGCTTTCTCTGTGGTCATGTGGTTTACAGTTTTAGATTTACAATAGCTAAATGTTTATCAGCCGAACGGAATAATATAATGAATTAAAGTAGAAAAACAATTGAAAGTACTGCAGCTGAAAGATTACAACCTGTCAGATCTTTGAAGCATTAGAATCATCTAAGTAATTAAAAATGAAGTTACTACCTCAACGGGAATACAACGTGTCTCTGTTATAAAGACTAGTTTATTGATGTTGTGTAGGAGAATGTTAGCTGTTTGTTCTGAAAACAGCAAAAGAAACCCCTCAAATATTGTGGGCAAATTACAGATTTGCTGTTAAATTTCGAATCTCAGAATGTTAAAGTAGTTGGCACGTATATGTTACTTCTGTTCCTTTCACGGGAGTTCCGTGTCTGGTATGGACTACAATTCCTTGGTCAGCTGAACTACTATCAACTTCTCAAAAAGAAATCCTCTCCGAGTGCGGTTAAAATGGAGAGTTACAAGATAATAATTTATGAAACTGTTTCAAACAGGCAGAGACAGAGGATGAATAAAGGCTAAAACGAAGAATAGGGGAAAGAAAGAAAGGCAGGAGAGTTATAACCGAAGAGATGAAGTTAAATGAGAAGTGAAAGTAAAATAGAAGTTGTGAACGAAATATTATGAACTGTAAATTCCATCGTAGTTATTTTAACTACTAACTGACCTTGCTGGCACAAACAGCCGAGGATGTAAAAGAATATGGCCACCACAGATAGGGTCGGGTTCCTCTTCTGTCCGTCATAACTGATGTTGGTGACCGCCAAGCAGACGCTGAGGGCGCAGCAAGCAATGGCCACTGCCAGCCACAGGCCGTAGCTGAAAGGAGCGAGGTAGAGGTTCCAGGACATGTCTGCGCTGTTTGGTATCCTTATGAACACTCTGGTGCTGAAACACAAACCATCCTCATGTTCCCTATGGGTTCCATAACAACAGCGAATTTCTGTACTAGCCGGGCGAATATTAACGTCTCTACTAGGACTGAAGTCCAATGTGAGATGAGATTATTCAGGGTATAGTAAGCGAATATTACGGTAGAGTGGTTACCAGTCTTGCTTCATATTTGGGGAGTTTGGGTTTAGTATCTAGCAGAAAGGCCATTCTATAATTCGATGTTGTATATTATTTGTTCAGCATCGTTACGTAAAGACAATCAATGACAAAATAAGTGTCTAGTGGAGTGTAAACATTGTCATACGTCGAGTGATCGCGGTATTTGCCTCAGTCTGAAGGGAAACTTAGTAGGATTACGGGAACATTGAGGAATAATGAAGTTCGGAGAACACCAACCGTCAAAAGTAAGACTGGGAATGGAAATGATATCGCAGTGCCTGACCTTGAGAATTCGACTGTGTCTATGAAGTCCACCACATTGGATCGTTCACTTGTTGCTGTGAAATCTCCAATACCGATGTCGGCCTCCCGATTTTTCACCAACGCTATCATTCCGCTCCATGACCCGTTTGCAGATTTAGAGCCGTAAGATTCCGTCTCATGGTACACGGTGCTGATAACAAGTTTACCGAAGAATTATACCTTAATACTATCTTGAATACGACTAGGTATATATCATGTAAATGCTGCTTTCACACGTCAAAATTCAGTGGTTTATAGTTATCATAAGATAATATTAAAATACATAAAGAGTGAAGTTGCACTCGGCTTAGAATATCTACAGTGGGTTGTTTTAGTACGAACATCTGGGTTCCATAAAAGCAATCCTGTATAGTTTTTCTTTGTTTTCTCATCAAATCACATAATGTCTATCCGATATAAGACATGTTTTATGACTAGCAAAATGCGATGAAGATCCTTTGTTATACATTTATTTAAGTTGTTACTATAAAGAAACAATACTTTTACTTACATGGCGTTTATTTCCTCCGCCATTGTAGTCCACATCTGCCCAAAATATCCTTCAGCAACCTCAGATCCGTCTGAATTATTAACTATGTTGACGACCAAGTATTCCTGAACAGATTAAAACATTCTTCAGTACTGTCCAAAAGACTGGTACGTCCAGTCTCTCGCTCACTCCATCATAAAATGTCTTCCTGAACACCTGATAGCTGCTCAAATTTTCAAATTCCCTACTTTTATGTAGGCATTAGATTTAACGCCATTTCTAGGTCTTGTACCAAGTCAATACCTTCACATCATGTTCTTCATGATAATTAAAATAACTTATGCCTATTCGTCCATCACAATTTGGTCTTCCAACTGGTCTCTTACCATGACGTGTTCGGACCAAAATTGTCATCATCTTATCGTTCGTCTTCTTAATGTGCGAATGAATCAGAATTATTCCAGCAAAATATTACAATATTAGCTACATATTTGTTCAGTTCATCGTACATTGAAGAGACAAAATCTTTATTTGTTCACCTTAAATAGGACTTTATGGCTCAATTCCTAGACACAGGGTCAAATATACCCTTGTCATATATTGAAGAGGTTTCAGCTTACGTGTTTATAAGTTGCCCGAATGACACATCCTTGTAGATTGCTTCTTCTAAGAAGAAAGTTCGTTGAAGGCCAGGTTGGGCTGCGAGCAGGAGTCCAGTTGCCGAAACGGTATGTCTGCAGGGGAAGTGTGGGGCTAACACGGTACACTTCGGTCAGACCAACGGCGTGGTCATCTTCTGGCTGAGCCACCAGGAACTCGCAGTCGAAGGGGATGTTAATGTCGGTGAAGAACTCCTCCAGGGAAGAGTTCTTGTCCAGGAACAGCAACCAGATGGCTCTGGATGAGTGTGTCTTCAAAAATGACTGTGGAAAATTGTTATAGGCCTGTGTTCATCAGCTTTTACATGACCCTAATATTGTGGTAAATTAAGATTAGAAAATAATTTTCGGAAAATACACGTTACTCAGAACAGTATTATAATTTTATAACTAATTACCAGAAGAAATTTGTTACTCTAGTTTATCATTGGTTTCTGGTGTATCAGATAAATTATAGGACAAGCTCGAAAGTCAACATAGTGTTTGACGTGAGAATTCATATACATTTTAACTGATTTTGATTTTATTATCTTTATGAGCCCTGATTCCTCTCTTTTAAAGCAGCTTTTAGATTACTTATATATCCTTGAAATGTTTTATACTAAATGATGCATGCAGTTATACCTCGTATTAGGCGAGACAGATATTTTGTTTGGCCCACAGTGTTATTTAATGTGAATAAGTTACCAGAAAGGACTGTTTCTAACCTGATGTATGTAGTTTCTTGTTTCTGCATCGCCTTTGAGTACGACGTATATAGACCGCTGAGTAGAACACCTTCTGCTGACGCCAGTTCTAAATACCGTATCCATTATAGGAATATATTCGTATAATAAGTGCTTTCGAATTTTCTGCATCAATATCTTAGCTTCAAAACCTAAAATGCATATAATGTGTTATTAATTTGTCCATTCCCAAATAAGTAAAATATTTGCTATTTACTGAGTTACTCATTGTTTATCTATCGACTCAGCTAACTAAATAACCAAACAAACAAACAACTAAGTTAGTCGCCGGCTTTTCACTGCGGAGGACCGAGTTAACTCGCAGGACATTTTATGCAGGATTTGTAGCGGACGAAGTGCTACTAGGACAGGTTTCTCTACGAGTCCTACGGCTTTTCGCTGTCGGTAATATTTCACCGATGCTCCACATTCACTAACGAGTTGTCTGGGAAACGAACAACGGGCCCGTTGCCAGCCGCAGTTCCGCAAGGACACAGTTTTATCCGAACGTGATAATAAAAAAATTCTGTTACAAAATCCAGTGATTAAGTAAGAATCGCGAACAAATAAATCTATCTTATTATATATTTGTGGAATTTAATCCGGTTCATTTTCTCAAAACTTGTATGCTTCCTGTACATTTTGAAACGCATATTTCTGCATTTAGAGTGATAATTTCTAAGAATCTACCCCCACCACCAAAAAATACTACCCACTTTTATGACTGTCGTTAGCGAAAATTCACTTTTCACATAAAATGTTAAATTCAATCTCACCTTGTTGTTGAACGCGAGAGGTCATCAGAAATATGCAACCGCGTTCAAACTGATGATAAATATCAGCTATGAGTTCTGTTAATGGTAGTACTTTTTCTAGACCGGCGCTGATAGCCCCACTCGACAGTAACAACATGATACAGATAGACGTCTGCATTTGAAACATCTGAAGCACGGAATGCGTTCTGCTAGTGGCGACAGACTCGTCTGTCATGAAATTCGAACAGAAACAGACTACTTTCCTGTGGATGTAGATATTTCGTGAGGAATATAATTAGTGTGGACAGAGGGAGGAGTTCCACACGATGCAGATCTGAAAATGTTCAATGTCACGTGCATGAATTGGTCATTTAATTGCCAATGTTAAGCTATATTCATGTTTAGTGTCTAGAACGACTTTCTTATCGTTTCGTGATCTGTATACACCGCGTAATGATTAGAACCTATGGCTTTGTTTTCCTATCTTTTTTGCTGAATTATTGCAATCAAATATGTGCTTTCTTTCTTCGTGAGATATTGTGGCAGTAAATGTGCTGATGTTGTAAATAGGCAAACTTCTCTCCATCCATGTAAATAAGACAAATATAAAAGTGAGCGACAATGTTTTACTACTTTTAAAGAATCATCTGGTATAAAATGAGTAACAAATCTAAAGTTCCTCAATTGTGCCCAATTTCGGGCTCAGTTTTTTTTATATTGACTATTTTGCTTTTAGAAGTTAATTTTGGAACGGTGTGGTAGGTTTGTAAACACACCGGTACCTAAATATTTTAGGTATATCTTTACAACATATAACCTGTTCTGCATCTTTAATTTCAATTATAATTTTACGTGGTTGCATAACATTTACTGACAGATATCCGTAATTTTTATAACAAAGTTAAACACTTTTTATGTTTTGCATTCCTATAGGAAATCCAAGTTTGTGAACGTTTGGGTTAGATATTTATAAAACAGGACTGGAGAGCGCTGGTTTAAATCATCTGCTAAGGATAGGGACCAATAACGGTATATAACACGGAAATAATCCATCGGATTCCATAAAAGCAATGGTACTTCTTTACTATACCAGCGCAAGCTTACTATGAGCATCTCAAGGTCTTTGCTTTATTAGTTCGCTATTCGGGAAACTGTGGGTTCGTTTCTCAGCACGGTATCTGACTGTCCTTCATGTTTTCTTCAGTCTCTCCATCCAAATTATGGGGTAGCGTCTTAAAATAGGCTACAACCGCTTTCTTCCTAATGTCTTCCACAGCCATCCATTCACTGCGTGCTATATAACACGTCCTCTTTTAAATCTTTGTTAAATTAAGAAGCAAGGAGTTAGGAAGTGTCACTGTGGTTGAAGTTATGCATGAGCATCAGCTCCATAGGGCAATCGCCCACGTTCGATTAGGATTTATACTCAAAACACCGACCTTCATACATCCGAAGGCTGTCAATCCACATGGCCACAGGAGTCAGATTTATAAGAAAGTGTAATCCTTCAACATGAGTAGTGAGAGTTTGTAATTCGTTATGCGTGTAAAGAATTTTAGGTTCGGTTTTCATTGATTGGCTTGCGAGAACTGTTGAGATCTATCATACATTTATGACTTTTATAACCATCAGAAATACAACACAGCAGAAGTGAAATTGTGATCATTAACTACTGATCACTTGACGCACGCGAAGTGGACACACTCGTCCAGGGTAATAATTTCACACGCCAACTCAAACGTTTGCTGCATTTTTGATTAACAATTACCATTGTATTTGCAGTTTTGTCACATACAGACTACAAATGGAATATTTGGAACCATGTGTATTAGTTGTATCATTTTGTTGTATTTGTGATAACATCTGCAGTTGGTAGAGATCAAATGTCGAATGTACTGCATACCCTAATTTTTTCTTAATTTGTAGGAGAAGCATCATGGGGTATTACTGTAGGTATGAAACAGGTAAGGGATAAAGCAACTAAGTGATTTGAAGAGTGGCATTAAAAGTGAATACACTGTTTGTGTACATTATTGTGCTTTTAATGTTAGCAAAATATTTAAATTTTATCCATACAATTTTATCTTCAAAATTACAGAATACATTTTCATTTCCCCATCACTCGTGGTAATAATATTTTGTCCAGTACATACATTCACCAATAATCATGTTTTCTTAAGCATATACGCACATCACAAAACATCGTGCTTACAGTTAAAAGCAAGCAACCTAATCATCTAAAATTACATTTTCGTATCGACTGACAATGAATGAATATCGATTTTACAGTAAGCTGTACCCTTGCAGAATTCTACCGCCGCATTGGAGCGGTTTAATCTGTAAGAGTGAATGACTTCATAAAGATAATACATCAGCTTTGGGTTTTTTGAAAATTCTGTTCTGTTAAATCCATGCTACGTCAATCTGTTTTCTTAACTTCTATCCTGATATCAAACATATTTAACCTTGAAGTGCGTAGATTAAAAAGCACCTAATTGTATGATGAATGATTGATGAATAACAATTTAGGAGGAAACTGCATGCTTTAAGGCAGTGTGCCTGGAGGGACTGTACAAAACTATGAAAAATATTTGCCAAGTTATTCAGACTTGAATATGTTTTAATCACCAGGCGCACGCACCGATCCTCGGGGAGGGAGAATGTGTGAAAACTCACACCCTCGCCCTCACCGAGGGAACGCAGGACCCTGACGGTGGCCCGGAATCCGTCGGCGGTCTCAGGCACAAGAGTCAGGTTTTCTCCCTTCATCTGCGCCACGATCCCGCAGGCCGACTCCGCGCGAATCCTCTGCAGGAAACCGCGTACGTCCTTCACCCCAGAGACGTACACCGGGGTTTTGTTACGGCGCTCCCCCGGAGCCGTTTTCTCCACTTGGGCGTGGGACGAAGCGGCGTCAGATGACACGCCAGTGAGCGGCCCGGATAGGTCCCCGGAAGCCCAGGGAGATTTGAGCCTAAGTGCCTCCTCCATCGAGGAAGAGGGTCCCGGCTGTTAGCCGGGTCCCTTGGCTGAGGACTTCAATGGCCCGCATGGCGGTTTCAGCGCGGCGGGGTGGCAGGGGGAGGTCCGCGGGACGACTTCACGTCCCTCACTCCTTTAACCTCTTGCGAGGCCGCGGCTTTAGTGGGGAGCGGTGCCGAGGAATCCACCCCAGCAGTCGCCCCTTTAACCGGTCGCCCGGCCACTACCCCGGTGTACGCCGCGCTGACCTCAGCATAACTGCCGAGTTGCCGGCCACACGAGGTGGCTTGTT